CTGTCATGGCTCAACTCCAACCAGCAACCAAGCCCCAAGCAGCCACTCACTCCCCCAAACGGTGATATAGGGGAGAGAATTGAAATGGTAAAAGTAAATAAGCTCATGCCTTGAGATGGAAGCAGCTTCGTAACTGAAATAAAATAATAATATATGAATAAATGATACTAAAAAGGAAAATAACAAAAAGAGAAATAAAGCAAGTGATGCAAATGTAAAACAACTAAATAATGCCCAGCCAGTTTCCAAAGAGTGTTCTTCAGCCAGCTTTCACCCTAGTTACATGCTGACTCTTATGGTATCAAATATCCCTGTAGCCAGTGGTGGGGATCACCCGTCCTAGCTGTGTTCCCTTCCAGCTTCTTGTGCACCCCCAGCCTCCTTGCTGTCAGGGCAGCATGAGAAGCTGAAAAGTCCTTGACTAAGTGTAAACACTGCTCAGTGACAACTAAATCATCAGTGTGTTACCAACATTATCCTCCCCCTACATCCAGTACCCAGCACTGTAGCAGCTACTAGGAAGAAAATTAACTCATCCAAGGCCTGTGCATCCACAGAACCAAAGTGGATGACAAACTGTCCTAGGGACAATAGAAGCTCAAGATACAGTAGCAATGCCTAGAAAAAAAACTTTTTTAACCTTGTAGAGGAGTTTCAGGCAGTTTGCATGACAAATATTTTTAATGGAAGAGGCATGGTAAAGCATCTGTCTCAAATCCAAGTGTAAAAGAACTTGAAACAAAATGACAGGACAGATGGTATTCATCCAAGAGTTCTAAGGAAATTCAAGTGATGAAATGGCTGAACTTTGAACTGTACTTTATATTTTTTTTCACTTAAAACTGTCTTAAGTGCTAGATGAAAGCAAGGTCACAAATACGACACTAATTTTTAGAAAGCGTTCCATGGAGATGCAGAGAGCTTTGGACCAGTAATGTCCACATGACAAGTTGGTAGGAGCCACAGCACAGCTGAGAGTTGCCGGACAAATGGCTAAATAGAAGTTGTGATTTCACAAGAGAATATCCTGTTCCATAGAGCTGTAAGTATTCTTCGAAGAAACCTGCAGACCTTAAGGTAAAGGAGATCAGGTGGTTTTGGTCTATTTGAGCTTTTCTGGTCTACTTCTCATAAAAGAAATAAGTCACCATGGAAGATCTTGCATGAATAACAAGAGCTAACAGTGAAGATGTGCAAAGACAGCTTGCAGCCTGAAGTGACAGAACAGTAATACCAGCAGGTGAACTACGGTGTTAGTACAAATTGTATTACATGTTAACATGTGCTGCTCTATCACAAGAAGGGGAAAAAGCAGTCCTAACATTCAAGTTATGGGTAATATGGGGTAGCATTACATTAGCCTGGAGGAGACAGTGGAGCTGTAACACACAGTTCGGTGAAGACATAATGAATGTTTGCTAGAAAAGCAAATAGCATGTTAGGCATTATCAGGTAAAAGAGTTACAAACAAAACACATATTCAGTATTGTCTTATCATTTTCCTAGAAGAATATAAGGTTTCCTCTTGCCTATTTACAAAGCTGGTCTTATTTTTCCAAAGCTAAACCTATGGTCTGGAAAACTGCAAATATGCATGTGTGTGTGTGTCTTGATTAGAACAGTCACAGAGCTGGGAACTGACTTCAGAATAGATAGGCTTTAAAACTCCTAGAACACTAATGAAGTTGCAAATGATTGTGGAGAGAAAATCAGAAAAGAAATTAAATAGGAGTTTTACCTTTGATTAGCCAATGATTCATAACAGTGTATCATGGGCATCTGGTCTATAACATTGGTACATAATCTAGTACATGTTCAGTGATGGATTATTTGCTGTGGTGGTGATGGTTGATGATCCCACTTCACTTGCCTTAGCATAGATTTATTTTTCTGTTTGTTTTCTCATTTTGGCTTCTATCTGTTTACACATCCTGAAATATCTAAGTGTTTGGCCAGCAAGCTCTGCATTTCCAAAAATTGCTGGGCCTCTTGTATGAGCTGCATCACAACCCATCTGCTTTTCCGTGATCCTATTTGAATCCAATGTCAAGAATCCCATAACAGAGCCCAGATATTGAGCTCACTGCTGCATTCTCCAATGCACAAAGCCCTTCAGGGATGCATTAAGTCTCCTAACTGTGGAATAACGTAAGATTCAGATCTACCTGATAAGAAAAGATGACTTGCCACACAAATTCCTCAAATTACTCAATTGTCACAAGCCAGCATCAATTAGTAAGTGAACCTGTACATAGCTCTGGTTATCCTGACATCCTGAAATCAACTATCTCCGTAAGCCTCAGTGTTGGAGAGGCTCATGATGTTCCAGGACAGAATATGAAGTCAACCATCAGAAAAATCTTTATAGCTAGCAGATCCTGTGTTCCACCTGTAAGTTGTAGGAAAAGCTATTGTCAGTATTTCCTGGCCCAAATATGTAAAGGTAAAGTTTGTACTCATAAATCATTTCTTCAGCAGAGCCGGATGGATTTTATTTGCATGGACAAGACCACAACATTCTGAAAGGCCCTTTGGAAAATGAGCAGTTGATGATGTTATTGTCAGTGCTGCCACCTTGAAACCAGCTCCTGACTGGCTGAACTCTGCACTGACCTAGCACTGATTACTCCTTCAGGAATTAAGACCTTTAACAAGCCTTTATAATTCACCTATATGTCACTGATTTGTCACAGCAGAGGAGTGCACTGCAGAGTCACCATGCCTCTTCAGAAACCTTAAAAATTTTTGCATAAATCAGATGACATGTGACTAAAGTCTGCCTAGATTGAAGCAGCAGTTGGAGAAATTCTCAACTATTAAATAGAAACACCATCTCTAGTCAGAAAGTGCTTGAGTTACATAAGGCCAGAAGCAGAAACGAGGTTAGACAAGTATCCTTGGAGCATCTGTTCACTCTGCCCTGCACTCTTTGACCACACTGATCCTTCTGACCTCTGAGTGACACAGGCTGCTGTGCTACCTGGACTTTTCGTCTGATCTTGCATGTGCTTAATGTTTTAATGCTACGTTCAGTTCTTATCCTAATTCAAAATATTTTTCAGCTTGCCCATGATAATTCTGGAACACGGACACCATTTTTCTAATGACTTGGAAGATAATGGCATAATGTTACAGGGAAAAAAAATCCAGGAGTGTTTCTTACCTCCAACTGGAAATGGAGCATTCAATATTACTTTATCCGCAATAGCTTTAGTAAAACTACTAACCAGACCCCACTCTGCTACAGGGCTACAGAATTGTTTTCCTCAGCAATACCCCACATCATCTTACCTTCTCTCCCAGATGGCAGGACAGCTGTCCTTTCCATTGGCAGGTTGATTAGCTGTACCTCTAGAGGTTCCTTGGTATCTTCAGGACAGGTAGGACTTCAGTGCATTCCTTGGGCAATCCAAAGACCAGCATGACTAGTAGCAGTTCCACAGCTGGGCATGCTTTTTCTCCTGGTCAGCTTTTCCCAAATCTCTGCTTCTTAGGAACTCACAAGAATCTTCCAGGAGGCTTCTACTTTCATTCACTTCTACTTTCTTCCACAGTTTCTGCTGTCTCAGAAATAAAAACACAACAACTGCATTTGTAGCTGTCTGTTGGGCAATTGTGATGGCCTTGAGGGCTTTGGCAAGGTGCTGCAGCCATCCCACAGGCTCAGTCTGGCAAAACTTGCATTTCCAGACAGGGCTTGGGTTCTCCTGTGCAGAATGACACAGTGGAACAAAGTCCCTGGCTGTATGGAGGGGTATTTTCATCAGTTGCAGTGGGGTATTTTCACCACCAGCCCTCAGAATGCTAGTACCAGTCTCCATGGCTCTGGCCCAACTGTTTCCCACAAGTGCTAATATGCTGTTTCCCGTGGCAGGTCTAACTCAGGGAACATGCACCCCCACACACAGATGATTCAGAAGACATTGTATCCAAAGACATACTCCTGTCTAATGTGAGGGCTTCTAGAAAGATACTGCCTTACATTTTTTCTTGGGGAAATCCTCCCACAAATTTCAAGGGGAAAGGTTATATTTTGATTCCTGTTTCCACCTTAGTGCCTTCACGTGGTTCAGAAAGCCTGTTTCAATCCACGCTTCTTCATCTGAAGGCTGCAGTTTAACAGCAGGCTGGGCATGCTGCCTTCTCTAATTGACACACACTGCCACCAGCAGCCCTTTCCAGGGAAGTAAAATATCATCTCTCCATCTCTCCATTCATTTCATTCATTTTCCCTTTCCCAGGGATGTTCAGCCAGACGGCTGCTATTGCCATCATGCTCATCTCAGCCATTTGTGTTTTTTATTATGAGTTACGGCTATGCTTTTTCTCCCATCTTTCTGTTTGCTTGGGTTTTTTTTGTACAGGAGACATTACTTTTGCACAAGAAACATCATGGAGGTGTTTGAATGTTAGATCACTGGAGAAAGATCTGCTTTCACATTGAACTGCACTCATGAGAGCTGCTGGACACACCCAGCCCCCAGCCCTGCTTTGGCTACACTCCAGAGAGGACACTGTTCTTGTCCCTAAAACAATTTTGTTTTACTCTGTGAAGCATATTAGCAAGAAAACATGCAAACAAACCTTTTCATCTTGGTGATTCAGCAGCTCTAACTCCTCCTTACAGACCTCGGTGTTTGTCATCTTCATTGATCTGTTGACTGAAGGAACATGCATTTTTCATCAGTCAGTTCAGACGCATCAGCCACCACAGATCATGACTTTGCTGGAGCGTCTCCATTCACATTGTTGTTCAGAAAAGCCACAGAGCAGAGCAATGAGGTAAAAAATCCCAGGGTTGTGCAGACACTTTAGTACGTGGTCATGGAGAACACTTCATTAGTTCCTCCAAATAAAGAAAGGGTTAGGTTTTTAAGATTTAAAAACACAAAGATTACTAACCATTACCTGGGTTACTGGGATGTAAAATCCACACAATCACTTCTTCCCACCTTTCTGGGCCCCACAGCTGAGAGTGTGACGAGGGAGAAAGCCCATACCAGTCACACACCCGAGGCAGCAGTGAGTGAGGCTCCCCGGCACAGGAGGGCTGAACTGGCTTCAGACTTCTGGGCTCACTTACAGTTTATGTTTCAGGTTTTATTCAAAACCCAAGGGAGCCAAAATCACCTACATTTTTTTGATAGCCTATCACTTTTTCTGACTAGATTCGTTCCATGTAGAGTCCTTTTATAGTGCCAGCCAAGCTACACAACTTACTATTCCAACACTGAAGGAGTTCAGAGCAGGCTTGCAGGATAAGTAAAGTCAACAGCCAGAGGACCAAATGCTGGCGACCACTTCTGATGTTCCCTGAAAGTACATATCACCCTGGAAGATAACCACTGACACTTCTCAGATTATTCTCACAAAAGTAAGCAGGATAAGATTTCAGAACACAGCAAGACCTAGTATTCTCATGCCTTTCCTAGCAATGAGAGCAACCAGAAACAGAAACATTGCCGATTTGTTTTCCCTTGAATTATGTCTTTTCACCTATTACAATTGATGGCTCTAAGCTCACCAGCAGGGAACAAACAATAAATGCTTTTACAGAAACTAAGTTTGTTTTCAATAGCGTAAATAATTTCTTCTTCATGTTCTTAAACTCCCCTTATTACTTTGCCTCCATAAATTCTAGCATAATTTGATGTTTTTCAAAGTAAAAGGAAAATTGGGCTTTATATACAGCAAAATCTACTAAAGTACTTTTTGTGTGTTTACAGGCAGTGGTATGTTTTACTCTTTCTTGCAAGAAGGCTCACAGATCAAGAGTTAAGCATAAAATTTTAACATCTCTGGCACGGTGTAATAGATATCAAGTTTCTTGATATAGTTTTAGAGCAGTTAGTTGATAAAGTTTTGGCTTTAGGGACTGCAGTTTGGAGGCAAATGGTATGGAAGAAGCAGGCAGTAGTAAAGATTGACTAGCCTTACGGAAAGAGAATAATGTACTGATTCTAGCATGCCATCAGTGGGGACAATGGCTTTGGTACTGTTCTAAGTGTGCTGCAGGTTCTCCTGGTGCCAGCATCTCTGGTAATAAAGAAAGATGTCCCCTCCTTCCTATCAGTCCATCTTTTCATACATTAAAGTGTGTTGTCTACATGAATAGTCTCTGCTTTAACTCCAGGGTTTTGTCAAAAAAGGCTTTTGAAACCTGAATACACAAAAGTTATGGCTGGGAAGCAAGAATCCCATTTATAATAAAAGCCCTGTAGACTTCAGCACTCAGGTTTGCTCTTAGAACTTGTGTCTTTCATGCCCTAATTTAATTCCATCCTCCTTTGTTAAGGAACCTCAGGAAAAAATAAAGTTTGCTTGAAACATGTTTCTTGGTGGAAACGTAAATGAACTAAGATAAGACACAGTAAAAACACTACAAATTAGACCTGACCTTTGGTTCTACTCTCAAGTTCATTTTCTATGAGCATATTAAATCTACCTAATTATATCACGGCAGGTGACATAAAAATCCAAATATGTCCATGTGGCATTTCTCAGTGAGAATTTACATTTTCATTTCACTGGGAAAAAATCTTGAGTCCCCACAGATGCAAAAAAAGGTACCTAGATAAAACTTAAAATAAATGGCATTTAATATTTGTAAGTTTGTAACGTTGAAGTTGTCTAGATTTTGAGATATGAGGGTTTCTATGAAGATAATAATCCATTTTTACTCTGTAAAAGTATAGTAAAACGAAAAATTCAAATATTTTATTTACTTCACCTAAAAAACAAGCAACCCATGAGTAAGATATACATAGGTTTCCCAGATTTATCCCTAATAAATTTTTTAAAGATTTATACAATTTCTACAGAAACATACAGTGTATCAAAATCTGCATAAATCAAATTTATAAAATATGTAGAAATGCATAGTGATATAATCATCAACTTACAAAGCAAGAATATGGGAATTATTTTTTTCCAAGCCGGCTATAGTAGGAAAAAGTCATTACAGCAACAGCTTCTTATGATCTCATGTTTTGTAAGGTTTCAGTCTCACATACAGATTCATATTCACATACAGCATCAGCTTTCAATGAATTGCACATAATACCCATTTAAAATGCACACCCGCACAATTTATGTGCCACCATTCTTCCTCTTATGCATAGTTGTATGATTAAATTAATCTACCCAACACACAAATGGAGTCAGTTTTCACACACACAAGGAACAAGTACCAGCACAAAACCTTATTTTCCTTTTTTTTTTGTTTTTTTTTCCGATTTCTCCCTCCTTTATTTTCTATTTTTCATAGCTCTGAAAGGATAGATAAGAAGTTTAAAGAAACTAGGAAAGATCCCAAACTAACAGATCAGTGCTGACAGCCCTATAAAGATCCAACTCTGTCACAAATATGATACATAACCCTTGTTAACATTAACATGGAAGCTGCATGCAATGCTATTCTGGACTTCAGGGGAGTATTTAGTCCTACTTAAGTGTGTGATGTGTTAGAGGGATAACAGTTATGGAATCAGTACACTGATGTCAACATTTAAGTCACAAAATCTGGACAAAGGAAGTGAGGATAAGTCATTTCCCCTCCACCTCTCTATTCGTTCAGGGTAAATATTTATACTCCTAAGGGAGTTTGCATCAACTCTATCCACAACATTTTTAGAAACAACTTCTTCACATTCTACTCTGTACACTATAGCACCAAGCAGTTGGTTTTCTGCGTTTGTAATCCCTCTGGAGAAGTTGCAAATAACAGAAATAACAAGAAAATTAGTACGAACAAGTATGATTTCAGGATTTCCATTTCTCTTTTTGAATCTAAATCTGGCATCCAAACTGGATGACAGATGTCCTTGTGATAAATTACGCAGATGTGTTAAGCAGCTGGATGTTTTTTCCTAATTAAAAGTTTTAGTCCACCTCTAAGTGACTTCTATTCAAAATATAAATGAAGTATTTGATTCTTTACAAGGTTTACATAATTGTGCAGCTTGTTTGCTGTTGTAGTTGTTTATTCTAATTATTTTTATGTAAGGCATGGTTTAAACAAACAAATTAGTGCTTATAAATTCTTAACTGGATTCGTGAGGGTGCTTACCTCCATCAAATTGTACCACACTAGCACTAAACTTGACAGTCTTCCTTCCACCGTGCCAAGCATTCAGTCGAAGCAGAGCAGCCAAACTGGCAATAGAAATTTGTCTTCGTTAGCACAGTAATTACATATGGTGGTATGGCTGGTCCCTACCCCTGGTGACAGCTCAGAACAACCCACTGTAACTTTCCAACAAATGCTTTCCTTGTGAAAGAGAGAAATGAAAGAGGCACTAAATATGCTGAAATTCATCTTCCAAAAAAGCAGCATGACTGTGAGAGAAGGCCACCCTGGCTAATAACCTGTGGCAGTGCTTAGTAAGATGTAAAATTAAATAAAAATATACAGCAGGTTGATAATCACCAAGTTCTATGAAAATCTGATTACTCCAACCTTTTCAAGTGTGTGTAAAAAAACTGCCTTCAGACCCCTGAGTGTAATCCCAAAGAAGACGACGCTTTTAACTATGTTCCTATGAACCATAGCTAACAGCACATTAATTTACCAACATCTTGAAACAAAAAGATGTAAACATCTACAGAGTTTAAGGTAAAGCAGTTTTGTAAACATTAACTGCGGATGATAATGTTATTGTAATAATCACAGTTCCTCTATGTCCTTCATCCAAGCCAGGAGGCTCACAGCTGTACAAAGTTAATAATTGCAGCAGTTTTCAGGCTATTTTCAGTCCTGTACAAATGAATGCATCAGTAGGTAGGTTTTGTCTGTCTACACACTAAGAATGTTGTTCATTTCCCATTTTTGTGTTGCTTTACTGGAGTCACACTCTGAAATGAAAACTTGATGGAGGACTTCGGAGCGATCCAAGCACTTCCCTGATGGAATGTGAGTAAATCTGTGCAGATTCTGAAAGACAAAACCACCAGGAAAATGTGTTGAGTTTTTGTGTTGGGTTTTTTTTTAACATTTTCTTTACATCTGCAATATAGTTATTTACAAAACCAGGTTTCAGCATCCCAGAACAGATCAGTTCTATACTCATTTTACTATTTGCTAAACCTAGCACTTTGCAGCCTTCATATTAAATTTTTGGTTCCTGTAGGTCCACCTGAGATGCCTCCTGTTTCTCTTAGGCAACAAACTCCTAATGAGATGAGCCTTTTCATCCATCTTGTAACCAAACTGAAATATTAACTCTTGAGGACAGCTCTATGAGGACTTTACTGGGCAGGTCCTCCTCCAGGTAAGCCCTCACAGAAAGCAACTGCACAACACCAATATTAACCACACAGGGGTAAAAAAATACTACCTTGGCTCCCTGTTTGGCTGGCAGAAGGAAGAGTAAAGAGAATGAGAGTTAAGTCTGGCTTTTGGAGCAATAGGAGGCTGCCTAAGGAAGTGCAAACCTTTTGTGCCGGGCGCATTCAGGCTGACTCTCGCACATCTGTCTCCTTCCACACCCACCATGTTCCCTTGCTTGAGTCTCCTGTGTTTGGCCTGTGGCTCCTGTCCTGCTTGCTGACACTGTGTGCCAGAGGCAGCCCTGCCTCACTGACTGGCTGCATCCAGTGTGGAGGGGAAGGGAGCAGAAGCAAGCCCATGGCACTGTGGCTGGGCCGGGGCTCTGCAGCCCTGCGCTGGGCACACAGATACTCTGGCATGGGGACCCTCTCCATCACCCCACACACATGTGCACAGCCAAATGCGGGCTCAGATCAACACCTGGCTCCTGCTGTGTGTCCAGATATGGAGATCCTCTAGTTGGAGAGAAAAGTGGATGTCTAAACAAAAGCAACAGGCAGACTACCACCAGCCCTGTTCTTGATGTCTGCCCAGCTACTGCTCAGTGCTCAACCAGCACGTTACACTCAGCAAACTGGCACACTGCTTGTTCAGAGACAGCCAGCTGACCAACCAGATAAAATCTGTTTGCAGCATTAATTTACACAAGGCCACAACATTTTTCAGCAGTCCATAAGTGTTTCATCCCTTACACCTTTGCCATTAGAAGAA